ACGTATGCAAACCCTGCCAAATGGGCCAGGTACCCGCAGGATGGTTAAAATTGGGACATTCTATTCCGCGCGTTTAGCGCCGCTTAACCAAAACTGACGCTCACTGCAGCGCTCTGGTGGGCCGGCTCACGAACACGCAGCGGCAGCGAAAAAATCCTTGCCAAATGGGCAGCGAAAAAAACCACCTGCGAGTGGATGTATCCAAACCCTGCCAAATGGGCCAGGTATCCGCAGGCATTGGACATGTGGTTAAAATTGGGACATTCTATTCCGCGTGGTTAGCACCGCTTAACCAAAACTGGCGCTCACTGCAGTGCCCTGGTGGGCCGGCCCACGAACACGCAGCGGCAGCGAAAAAAACCTTAAAAACTTGTTGCGGTCAAGAATCAAACTCGCCCCACTGCATTGCTACCAGTGCTTGGCTAACCACTAGAGACACCACGTACTCGTAATCCATACTACTGTGAAGTAGTTAAGGAAAATTGTCGCCGCTCTGTCCCAAAATTTGCAAGTTCACAAATTTGATTTAGAAAGAAAAGGTTCAGGTATTACAAAAAGCACACCAAAACTTGAAATAAATGTTCACTAATTCGGGTAAAAAGTTCATAAATCTCAGAAAAAGTTCACGGAATTTGAAAAGGTTCACTAATTTCAGAAAAGTTCACGAGTTCAAAAAAGTTCACGGATTGAAGAAGTTCATGAAAATTTTGAAAAAAAAGTTCACGAAATACAAAATAGTACAAGAAAATTTGAAAAATTTCATTGATTTACAAAAAAAATCATACATTTGAGAAAAGTTCATCAAATTTGAAAAAAAAGGAAAAGGAAAAGGAAAAAGAACAAATAAAAGAGGAAAAATGTTAAAGTTTACCAGATCCCTCTTGGTGGCGTGGTGATTACACCTACGTCCTCGATATGGGAAGTCGCCAATTCGATTCTCATACAGCGCCCCTTTTTGCGAATTAATAGACAGAAAAAACATTAGATGGGCCGACCCAATTAGATGCGTCAGGATCTGCCGTTAAAATTGTCATTCTTACCAGTGTCGCAACACAACGCCGTTCCAATTGACCAGTCGCCTTCTTCCGCACCCTTCGCGAAGTTTCCTTGCTTCACCATTTCGCCATGACCGGCGGTAGCATTTTTCAGCAGGGTGTTGAGCTACGTCGTTAATGTGTTCTTCGTCGAGGGCCTCTCCAACAAGTATGCTTGCCTCGCCTTTCCCTCCCTCCCTCGAGAACTTAGATTAAATATGGGTGTCGTCGTCCGCGAAGGTTTTGAGGTTGATTTGGTTTGATTGATGTCATGCGGATTGGTAGCGCTCCCTCATCTGGTCCTTGGGAGAATCGGCTCTTCGGTCTGTTCCCAGTGGATTCGTTTTCTTGAAAAATAAGAAAAATCATAGAAAACCAGCCCGACACAAATCTACAGGACGCAGTGAAGGAACCGACAAATCCTAATTGGCATGCGGCTCGCAGCTGACCGACCGCGTGCGCAACCTAGCTTGACACTGCGTTTGTTTGGGCCGGCCCAGCTATCCGATGCCGATTTTTTGGAAAGGTTCTAGAACATTCCCAAACTCGTTTTTTTTCTTATTTTCTTTCTTTCTTTCTTTCTACTTTTCTTTTTTGGTTTTTTTCATTCTCTTTTATTTTTGTTTTTATTATTTTCTGAAATCTAGGAACGGTTTTTTCAAATTGGTGATCTTTTTTTGAAATTCAAACATGTTTTCAAATTAGGGAACATTTATTGAAATTCAAATTTTATGCATCAAAATCGTACAAATGTCCATGTATTTTTTTAAAATATCATCATATTCAAAAATGTTCATTGATTTCGAAAAATTCTCGAATTCATAATTTGTTCATTAAACTCAAAAGAGTTCATTGAATTTAAAATTTGTCCATCAAATACAAAAAATATTCATCAATATACAAAAAAATCATCAAAACTAAAAACTATTCATCTGAAATTCAAATTTTGTTCATACAAATACAAAATTTCTCATCAGAATTCGTAAAATGTTCATTTTTGAAAATTGGTGAACATATTTTTGAATTCATGAATAGTTTTTGCGTTGTTGATCATTTTTTTGATTATTTTTCAAACCCCAAACTTTTTAGGAAGAAAAAATAGAAAAGAACACAAATAGGAAAAAAGAAGGAAGAAAAAAGGGAGCCCCATCCCATACCCATGCCGGCGCAAAGACGTGCATGAAAGCCAGGGGGCGCGATGCCTGGTTTCGATGTTAGAAATCGGTTCGTGGAGGTCACTGTATAGGAGCTCCCAACCTCGATGTTAGAAATCGGTTCGTGTGATGTGTCGAAATCAACAATTAAGTGGCACTTTTTGCAAAGGTCACTCTCACCTTCTCAGGTTGCGAGCAACCTGTGACTTTTTTCTTTTTTCATAGATTCATTTATTCAGAACGTTTTATCTCTTAAATTATACGTTCAAATCTTGAATTATTTTCATGTTGGGTTCATCATGTCAAAATCTTCAATATTAGACCCCATATTGATAGTTTTGAAGAACTTTTATTTTCACAAAAAAAGATGAAAAAACTAAACCGAGAGTCCCTTTTTTTATTTCCTAAAGAGATACGATTGTGCCTCTCACGGAAGCAAATCCATGTCTTCACGAGAAGTAAATTGGTGCCTCTCGCGGAAGGAAAAAAAAAGACACATTTTTTTCATTTTCAAGAGGCATGACCGCGCCTCTCGTGAAAGCATATTTGTGCCTTTCGCGGAAGGAAAAAAAGAAAACACATGTTTTTCTATTTTCGAGAGGCACTCGCGATAAGAAAAAAAACATGTTTTTTCCGTTTCTGAGAGACACGGCCGTTGTCGGGGATATACCCCGCGGTAATGACCCGACCGGAGTCATAACCCGGCTGGGACTTGGTAAACCGGCGGATGGTAAACTGGCAGACAATTAAGACAGATGGCTAAGACGGACGGTAAACCGGCAGGTGGTAAACCGGCAAGTGTTAAGGCAGGTGGTAAACCAGCAAGTGTTAAGGCAGGTGGTAAACTGGCAAGTGTTAAGTCAGATGATAACCGGGCAAGAGTTAAGTCAGATGACAACATAGCAGACCATCATAAACCGGCAGATCATCATAAACCGGCAGATCATCTTAAACCAGCAGACTAAACCGGCAAACCATCTTAAACCGGATTACAGTGATAACTGGGTTGCCAGGGGTTATGAAGCCCGAGACGTTATGAAGCCCAAGATGTTAAGAAGCCCGTAAAGAGAAGTCAGAATAGTTAAGTCTTAAGTCCGAGTTGGACTCTACATGTAACCCGCCCCTTCAACTTATATAAGGAGGGGCAGGGCTCCCCAAAGAGGGACAAGCAAGAAGAAACAATCTCTAGGGCTAGACACAAAGAGCCGGTTTACCGGCGACTCCATCGTGAGCATAATGAGACCTAGCCACAAACAGCATGTAGGGTTGTTACCAGATGATGTTTCCCGGGGCCCGAAGCTGTCTAAATCCTTCTTTTGTGTTGCGTCTCTTGATTTCGCTCAACCCCTCTCAAGCTACCACATAGATGTGTTGGCCTTGCGACTAAGTCCTGACACTAAGGACATCTGCCGTGACAATTCCACGACAGCCGTGCTAAACGCGGGAAGGAAAAAATGTGTTTTTCTGTTTTCAAGAGGCGCAACCGTATCTCTCGTGAAAGCAAATCTGTACCTTTTGCAGAAGAAAAAAACACGTTTGTTTGTGTATTTTTTTTTAATTTTTTTCCAAAAGCTAAGAAAGACCGGTAAAAACCGAAAAAATAAAAAATAGAAAAATAAACATGTACAAAGCAGAAAACGCGTGCGAAAAATTTAAAAAATTACATCAAAAGGAGCATCCAAAACACAAGCATGTGATGGTTTTAAGTGTGCGTCAAGTGACGCAGTCTTATTCCACCCAAATGACCCTTGGAGGGCTCCCAAAGGAGCATTTGGCCTGGGCCGCGTAGCTCGGGCCATATGGCCAGGTCTGGTTCAATCACCTGCGAGTGAGCATAAAAACGTATCCCAAACCTGCCAAATGGGACTGCTTTGCCTAAAAAAAAAGAAGGTTAAAGAGACTGCTATTCTTACGAGTGTCGCATCGCATCAAAACGCCGTTCCAATTGACCAGTCGCCTGCTTCCGCCCCCTTCGCGAAGTTTCCGCGCTCCACCATTTCGCCATGGCCGGCGGCGG